ATCTCTTGACCTCGTGATCCACCCGCCTCGGCCTCCCAAAGTGCTGGGATTACAGGCGTGAGCCACCACGCCCGGCCAATTTTTGTGTTTTTAGTGGAGATGGGTTTCACCACGTTGGCCAGGCTGGTCTCGAGCCCTTGACCTCAGTGATCACCTGCCTCGGCCTCCCAAAGTGCTGGGACTGCAGGCGTGAGCCACTGTGCCGGCTGGAGCACAGCATTCCTAAGAGCAGGGGCGTGCAGGACCCCTGGACTTGGGTAGCAGGACATGGTGGGCAGGTTACCAGGAAGGTCCTTCCGCCACCAAGAGCTCAGCGACAGGAGAGGAGCGTCTCCCATCTCACCTGTTGTGAAGGCTGGGCTGCCTCTCACCAGGGATGTGGTGGCCCCCCCGTTTTTTGTCACAGAAATGTGTCTGGCTCAAGCTTGAGTCCTTTGCCCATCAGACCTTGGGGAGAGCTTGAGCACTGTTCCCAGCAGTTTATCTAGAACAGGACAGACTTGTGGGTCACATATTGTCCGAGGAGTTGGGCCCTGCACGTGCTGGCTGGTGAGGTCAGCAGGGCCTGTCTGCTGGTCCCTGTCCCCATGGAGAGGCTGTGGCTGCCCCAGGAGGAGCCCGGAGCCCGGAGCCCGTGGCTGGTGCAGGTGCGCTTCCCCAGGCCACCACACGGGGGCAGCAGCCAGGACCCTGGGTCCAGGGCTGGGGACCGGGACAGGTGGCTGGAAGCAGCTGGCGAAGCCCCAGCTGTGGTCATGGGCATCCGGTTCTGTTTCCCCACCTGTGAGCGGGGCAGGGGCCCCAGGGCCAGGGCCTTAAAGGCTGAAACTCCCTCAAGTGAAGCGGAGCCCACTCAGTACCAACCCGGGCCCTGCCCCAGTCTCCCAGTACCCTTTCCCACCACTGGCACCCTCAGCAGAGCAGCTGCTCCTGGCATTTCCTTCCGCCCCTGAGCTCACTTGCTCCATCCCTGGGTGAAGGAGGGGACACAGGAAGCTGCGCTGAGCCGTCTGGAGTCTGAGCCTGCAGAGCTTGGCTGGGCAACCAGTGTGGGGGCAGCAGGCCTACCCAGCTCAGCCACAAGCCCTGGGACACCCCCCCACCCCGGTCTCCTCCCCTGCGTGGGGGCTGCCTGGGGGTGCTCTTGGGAGCCAGGTCAGCCATGGCTTTCAGCCACATCCGGAGACAGCTGTGGTCGTCACAATGGGAGGTGCGGCTGGCACAGGTGGGTGGAGCCCAGGGATGCTGCCACACACCCTGCGTCGTGAGGACATACCCACCACAAACCCATCAGCCCAACGTCAGCAGCAGTGGGTACCCTGCTCCAGATGCGACTGTCCACCAAGGCAGTGCCTGAGCCGCCCACCCCAGCTCCTGCAAGCCTGGACTGTGCCTTGGCTTGGAAGCCTTTGTTGCCCAACTACAACCTTGGGAAGCAATTTCGGGGTTTTATTTTTATCTCTGTGGCTGCTTGAAGACCACAGAGGCCATCCCTCCCCTCTTCTCTGTGGGGCCTCCGCCCTGCCCCTGATCTGTGAGACATGTACCCCCTCTCCCTGTTGCCTCCCCTGTTCTGGCCCTGGGCATCGTCTGGGTGAGGGGCAGAGGTGGGTGGGGTGTTATGGGGTCATGTGGAGCTGCCAGCGACCTGCCCGTGTCACCACGGCGTGTCCTGATGCTCAGAGCTTGGGTTCCAGCCATGGTTTGGCTCTGCTGGGAGTGGTCTTGGGCAGTGGGGATGGTGCACCTGGCCTCAAGCACAGGGGAAAGATGTGGTGGTGGCCTCGATAACGGGGCATCTTGGTGAGCTCAGCCTCTGGCAGGCCGGTGTCTTCTGTGGATTCCACTGGGGCCTGCCCAGCTGCAGTGCTGTGGGTTCAGGGCTCTCATGGACCGTGGATGTGGCCCTCAGCTCCCACTCCCAGTGCCCCTCCAGGGCCCTGCCTGCTTCAGATGTGTGTGGGGGTGGGGACGCGGCACATGTGCGTGCCAAGCAAGGCCCAGAACCTCCAGAGAGCTGAGCTGAGCTCTCGCTGCACGCCCTGTCTGAGGAGCATGCAGGCTGCTGAGGCCAACAGAGAGGCCCTGGGCGTGGAGCGGAGTCTGGGAGGAAAGCTGGCTCCCTGGGCTGGGCTGAGGCCCCTGAGCTTCTGGGAAGGGCACTGGGAGGTGGGAAAGAGCGCTCTTGTTGATAGGGCTGGAGGAGTCTGGATCCTGTTTCCAAACGCCGTGTTTTCAGAAAGAGTCTCCCTCTGTACTCGGGCTGGAGTGCACTGGCACAATCTCGGCTCACTGCAGCCTCCACTTCCTGGCTCAAGCGATTCTCCTGCCTCAGCCTCCCAAGTAGCTTGGACTACAGGTGTGCGCCACTGTGCCCGGCTAGGTTTTGCATTTTTAGTAGAGACAGCGTTTTACCATGTTGGCCAGGCCGCTCTCCAACTCCTGACCTCAATCCATCTGTCCACCTTGGCCACCCAAAGTGCTGAGATTACAGGTGTGTGCCACCACGCCCAGCTAATTTTGTTTTATTTTTTTTTTTAGTAGAGATGGGGTTTTTCCATGTTGGTCAGGCTGGTCTCGAACTCCCGACCTCAGGTGATCCGCCTCCCTCAGCTTCCCAAACTGCTAGGATTACAGGCATGAGCCACTGCGTCCAGCCAAGTTCTTTTATTTTTGAGACGGAATCTCGCTCTGTCACCCAGGCTGGCGTACAGTGGCGTGACTTGGCTCACTGCAACCTCCGCCTCTAAGGTTCAAGTGATTCTCCTGCCTCAGCTTCTCAAGTAGCTGGGATTACAGGCACCCGCCACCACACCCTGGTAATTTTTGTATTTTTAGTAGAGACAGGGTTTCACCATGTTTCCCAGACTGGTCTTGAACTCCTGACCTCCAATGATCTGCCCGCCTCGGTCTCCCAAAGTGCTGAGATTACAGGCATGAGCCCTTGCACTAGGCTGTGATAAGTTCTTTAGAGTTATTTCATTGCACCACTGATTATAATTAGCCGATTCATAGGCAAGGACCCCAAGTACAGAGCTTCACTTGCCAAGAATCCGCCAGTCAGCCCTGAGTGTGTGATTCCTAAGCTTAATTGTAAAAGTAAATTTTTATAAAAGTTATCCTTTGGCTGGGCGCGGTGGCTCACGCCTGTAATCCCAGCACTTTGGGAAGCCGAGGTGGGCTGATCGTGAGGTCAGGAGTTTGAGACCAGCCTGACCAACACGGTGAAACCCCTTCTCTACTAAAAATATGAAAAAGAAAATTAGCCGGGCGTGGTGATGCGTGCCTGTAGTTCCAGCTACTCAGGAGGCTGAGGCAGGAGAATTGCTTGAACCTGGGAGGCAGAGGCTGCAGTGAGCCGAGACCACACCACTGCACTCCAG